CTAAATCCTCCTGTTCCTCCTCTTTTATCATGGTCTCACCAAGATGCACACAAAAATACATAGATAACCCCCGATGGGCAGGGCCAGTAGTTTGCGTCTCCCTAGTCTTCAGTTTCTGGAAGGCTTTTAGAAAATTAACCTTGGGCTTTCTAGCTCAGCAAATGAGTTCAGCAGTTGTTAGAGGGGAGATAGATGGGCAGTCAGACAAGATGACCACATCCGCATAATTTCTTTTGGAAACTTGGCCATAGAGGAAATAAACTGATGTAAGAAACTTGCCTGTTGCTGCTACGTGGCAGGTCAATGAGAAATGAAAGTTGTTTGGACCTCAAGATCACTCAGTTGCTTGAATGAAATAAGTTGATGATCTTGCAGTTGTGGTCCTCATCATAAAATTGCCTCCACTCTTAGCACTAATTGGTAAATTCATCAGAGGTGCTGAAGAGACTGATCTCATGTCATGCTCCTTATCCTAAGCAGGGCTGATGGAGCAATCAGAGCCAAAACAGGAGAGCCTCATCCAGTTAGTGTAAGTACTGGAGGATCATTATGATGAATTATGACAGCCTGTAATTCCCTTTAGTTCCCTACAGATACTGTGGATTATTGGACACGTAGTGCCAAATGTGTTAAATTCTCTGCCTTCTAATACTACCATATTTTTAGAACGCTTCAGCGCTGTATATGGGATTGTGATGACTTGCAAACTTCTGTAAACGGTTGGTTTGTAGCTCTCTGATACTTTGAATAACTTCATTAATCTTGGAAACTTTAATCATAGCTGTTTAGGGGGACTGTTTTCAAAGGCGTCTTGGATTTAACAGTATGTGTGTTGAAGATGCAGCCCCTGTGTGTGTGGTATGCATTTACACTGAGTCAAAATGAGGTGGGAATGGTACGGATTACAAATCTGCTTTTTTTTTTGCAGGGTGATCAGACAGCATTGCACCGGGCTGCTGTCGTAGGGAACACCGATGTTATAGCAACTCTGATTCAAGAGGGGTGTGCTTTGGACAGACAAGACAAGGTAACAGGCAAAAGCAAAGCCCTGTGGGATGGCAGCCTTGCCAGCCAGTAATATTAAGGTCTCAGAGAGAAAGTTATGGTTTATACTCCTGAGTAAGGATCTGATGCTTTGAAAGTAATTGGAACAGTTACATTGAAAAAAAGCTCTACCATCTCTTTAATATAAATTACTCATTTAGTTATTTTTTTATATCAGGCTCATAGTTTTTTATTTAAGAGTCTGGTCTCAGCTCACTAAGGGACAAATTAAAGAGATGTATAACCATACCATGTCCTGCGCAAAACACTGCACAGTTTCCCTTGGTTGATTAACCCAGAAACTGAGAATCCCAGGCTGTAAATTTAGTTTGGGAGTAAATATAACTAATTCCAAGTTCCAAACAAAATAAATAACAATGGTTTTAGCCTCTTCTAAAAATAAAATTGAAAATAAGCTAGAAAGAAAGGAAAATGTTTTATTTTTCAAGTGACTAGGTGGGGCGTGCAGCTGCTGCATTCTGAATGTAACATTACTCTGCATGTGGACACAGCACCCTAACCTTCTCCTCTTGTGTGTGTGCTCTTCAGGATGGGAACACC